CCGCCGCATGCGGAGGCCAAGGGAAAGGCGCGCGCGGTGCGGAGCTGAGGGCGCGGACGCAGCCGCGAGGTGACGCTGCAAGCGTGAGGAGGCCGCGCGCCGGCGCTGAGAAATCCCCCTCCCCCATGGTTCTACCGAGCGTGACTTAAAGTTCAGCAGCCGGTGGGCGGGGGCGGTGACGTCGAGAGGGCCGGCCGCCCGGCAGCACCTGGAGGCGGGCCGGCGGGGAGCTGGCCGCGGGGAGCGCGCCGGCCTCCGGCTCGAGGGACGGCCCGGGGTTTTCGAGAGGTGGTTCCCGCGCTTCCCGATTTCGCACATGCAAATCTGCGCCCCCGCGCCCGGGCGCCTCGGAGCGCGGGCGTCCCGGAGCGGCCTGGAGGGGAAGTGCGGAAGCGGCCGGCGCAGGCGTTCGCTTGTGATGCGTGTATTTGCATTCGGGGACCCCCGAAGTCCGATTTTCCCTTTTTATATCTACATTGCGAAGGCTCGGTTAACTTTACGCATTTTATATACGAAAACCTTTGAAACTCAAAAGGTCTCCCTTCGCTGTGCCAAGATTTGCCTGACACCCGCGGGGAAGCGGGAGAGCGAGTATTCGGTGCGTGCAGGGTCGGTACAGCGGTGTCCTTCATCTGCTAAGCCTTGTTCGCTCTGTCCGTGATACGCAGTTAACGGATGAATTAATCGGGGTTGGACGTTAAATAACTGGTCTTTATTTCAGAATGACACCAAAAGGGAAAAAACCTTCCTTACGCCAGGGTCGTGTGGTTCCAAAGCTCCATAATTTTTCCCCCTTCTCTTAAGTGCCCAAAATAAGTACAGTATTGGGAGTGGGGGCAATGGAGAATCAAACTGTCATGTAAATGCTCAAAACTAGAGGAACTTTGTGAAATAATTAAAAACGAATTTGCCAGTCCCCGAATATATTTTACAAAGTGTACACTGTACAAGAAATGTAACAGTTGTATTATCTAATAAGGTAAGCATTAAACCATGCTGTGGTGCACACATCGCTGGCAGTTCACTAGATTCCTAAGTAAAAGACAAAAAAAGCACCCCTTCAAACAGCCGGGAACGTACAGTCCTATGTGCTACCCATTTCTTTATCCCAAGGAAAAATAATAGAAAGCCGAGAGCCAAGGCTTGAACTCTACTGGTGTTTGTAAAGGTTTGTGCTAGGGCAAAAAAGTTTATTACTCTATAGCTAAGAAGCAGCTAGTTGTATTTTATAAAGAATAAGACATCTTTCCTCAAGGGCTTATAGTCTTTGATACTATTCACTTAACAAATATCTACTGTTTGCCCTTCTAAATTCCGTTATATACATGTTAGCTGAACACCATAGAAATCTGTCTTCAGGATTCTGTGTCCTGCATGAAAGACAGCAAGCATTGTTAGCAGGTAAGACCATTTAAAATACTATTAAAATAGTACTTTATTGTTGTAAGGAAAAAGCTTGAGGGTAGAAAGTGAGGGAGAGAGATGCACTGAGGAAGTGCCACTGCAGGTAAGTTGGCGTCCAGAGAAAGATTCAAGGGAAAGAACATTCTAGCCAGGGGAACGGCAAGCAGCAGGTCCTTGGGGTAGGGAAGAGCTTATTTGAGGAACTGGAAAAAGGCCAACTGAATGAGGTTAAAGAGGTGAGCAGGGGCCAGATCCTGAAGGACCTCGTAGGCCATGATGCAAAAGGTGGACTTTATTTTAGTTGCATGTGGGACACCCTTGGAAAGTTTTAAGCACGTAATAGATGTGTGAATACATTTTGAGATGTATTCTGGCTATTACTATATGCTAACTAGGGAAAAGAGTAAAGGCCGGTCAGTTAGGAGGCTGTCGCAGTAATCTAAATGAGAAAGGTAGTTTGGATTTGAGTTTTAGCAGAGGAGATGGTAGAAAGAGATCAGATTTAGTGGATGTTTTAGTGACAGACTTGATAAAAAAGTGAAAAAAGAAATCTTAGCAAGGAGCAGTGGTGCACACCTATAATCCTAGCACTCTGAGAGGCTGAGGCAGAAGGTTTGCAAATTTGAGCCAAGCCTGGACAGATAATAGACTATATCTCAAAAAAATGGGGGTAGGGGCAAGCATAGTGACACATGCCTGTAATCCCAGCACTTGGGAGGCAGAGGCAGGAGGATTGCCACGATTGAATTCAAAGCCAGCATGAACTATATAGCAAGACCCTGTCCCCAAAAAGTGGGGCAAGATGAACTGGGACTGGGTGTGTAGTTGAGTGCAAAGGTCCTGTGTTCAATCCCCAGGACCATCTCCGAAGAAGAGAAAGTGGTGATGAAAGCTGAATTGGAGCAGGTTAAGAAGAGACTGATGGAAATGATGAATATAAACTAATTTTTTGAAGAATGTTAAAAGAAACAAATGGGACAATAGCTGGAAGAGGATGTAGATTTGTACTAGGTTAGGGGCTGTCACTAAAAACTTCGCTCTCAGCAGGTTCATGCAAGATCCCGATCCAGTGTGGATGTGGTGGTGGCTTTCCTTCAGGAATATCCAGTGACTCAGGTGCCTTCCATATTACAGCACTTCTATGTAGCACCTTCAGGGCCACTTTGCAGAAAGAAAGAGTAGAGGATCCCAAACGAGAGATCTGTATGGACCAGGCCTAGAAGTAATTATATTACATACCCTGGACACAGACATGGAGTGCTTTCCATGGGGTTTCCATGGCAAGCCTGGAAAATTATAATTTGAGAAACATGACTTAGCTGTGTGCCCAGAGGCAAAAATGGTTCTCAGTGAGCACTGGAAGTCTCTGGCACAGGAGTCTGGGTTTATTTCTAGAGTGGCATGAAGACAGAGTTATATAAGATTGAGCTGAACTCAAAAGTCAGAGAGTGTTGGTAATGGAGGAAGAGGGTAAGTGCATGAGTAAAAAAGAGATAAAGTGGCCTCCAGAGCATGAGGTGGGGTTCGCCATACCCAGACTGGGAGAACTTCTGTTATAACGAGGAGCGCAGCGCAGAGTGGATGCGGGGAACCCGAAGGTGTGATGGGACAAAGATGAGACTCAGTTAAGCTGCTTTGTTTTCCTCAGGGGTGTTTGAAGTTAAATTCACCTGAGAGTAGAGGACAAAGAGGAATGGAAAGTTAAGGAAGAAGAGAAACTGTGGGCAAGGTCTTGAGGCCGGAACTTTAAAAGATTTAGCTGACTCTACTGAATGCCCATTTGTAACTTGTGGTCATAAAGTTAACATCAGACCACTAAACGTAGTGTTACTGTTATGGTTTTAGTCCAGGGATATCCATGGGCAATAGTATCCTGAAAAGGAAGATAAAGAACTAGTAAAATTGAAGCATGAGAATGTGTGGAAACAATGTATAATATCTCTCAACCCCCCCACACTCCCTGGGTGAGCATGTTCATGAGATTGTTTTATGGGTGGTCTGGGAACATTTGGTCTGCATCTTCCCTAGGGCTTAAGAACTACATAGCCAGTTGTCTGCTGGACACCTCCCCTGGGACACCCACAGGCATCCCAGACTTAACATACTCAACATTTCTCCTAAGTTTACTCTTCCAAGTTCTCTGTACTGATATCTATCCAGGCATAGGCTAGAAACTTGGGAGTAGCTTTGACTGTCTCACCATCCCCTATTTATTCCAAAACATCCAACATCCACATTATGCTGATTTTACCAATCAAATACAAATCTTTTGTGTGCGTGCACATATGCTGAGGATTGAACCCAGGACCTTGAGCATGCCAAACATGGTGCTGCCAATGAGCTATACCCCCAGCTGCCTTCTGTATTTTGACTGCCCTTCTCCTTGGTCAGATCTTCATTATACTTCATGTGAACTACAGGAATGGTCTCCTGTTGTGTCTATACTATTGTCCCCTTCAAAATCCATTCAAAACTAATGCTGTTTGAATCATCTATGAATGCACATCAAGCCATGCCAATTGCGTGCTTTAAAGTCATCAGTTGTTCCCATTAATCTTGGATCCAAACTCTTGCATGTGGCTCACAGACGTCTCAGTAACCTTCAAATCAATAAGAAAAAGGTAGAAAACTCAATTTTTCAAATGGGTGAAAGACTCACCTAGGTACTTTACAAAAGGAGATAGTAGAATAACTAACAACCGTTTAAAAAGGTGCACAGCCATGGTTGGCCTAGGCAGCTTGTGCTGAGTGATGCTGGGAAAACTCCAGGGTGACGTTGGTTTGGAATCAGACAAGGCCATGGAACAGATGGAGACTCTAGGAAAAGAAAATTAGTGTAAAGATCTGTTGGGTTCTTGCTGTACCCTGAGAATGAATGGTGGCGAGAATGAGGAGAAAAAGACAAGACACAAAAAGCTGGGATCAGGTGGAGGTCCTTTCTCTGCTGAGCAGAGAAGGGGAACTGCCCAAGAACAGTAAAGCGTTTATTTTATACCCCTGAGAGGTTGATTAATTTCAACCTCTCTGCCGAGCGATCAGTTAACAAGCTACAAGGGCTTGTTTACATGCTTCGAGGAGCTCCTGTGTTGGGCTGGCTTTGTCCTGCAGGTGTAATTACTTTTCAGCTTCAGCCACTCCCAACAAATAAGGGAAGTACTGATTGTTTTCCGGTAAGCAGCCCTTCAGAGATGAGAAAAATAGAAAAGAGAAGCCAAAATCTACTAAGACTGAAGAGAAGGAAAGGAAGAAACTATTTTCCCCAAAGTTACAAAAGGTTAAAAGAAAGCCAGGCCTTAATTTTCCTAAATCCAAAAAGGCAAAAAAGTAAGAGGAACCAT